TATACATGTACAATTAGATACATCCATATATACATAAAAATGCATACAAAGGGTTTAGGTAAAAACCCTAAACCCTATGCATGCATTTTTATGTATATATGGATGTATCTATATGTACATGTATATATATATAGATATATATATATACATATAGATACATCCATATGTACATAAAAATGCATACATAGAAAAAACTACCACCGACAACAAGCTCGAGGTGACAACAAACCCATCAGATGGAGTGCAAGGGAACGTTCTCGAGACGAGACCAACCCATATTCCCCCGTGTATACTACCAGTGTACAGCCTAAAAAATACCTGGTCAGGACCAACCCCATCGCAATTGGCCTTGTGCCAGAGAAGCAGTTCAATAGCCTCCACATGCCCATGCTTGGCTGCCATAGAGAGTGGTGTGCGTGGTGAGGGGCTCTGCATTAAATAAACGTATTCAAATCAAAGCTTGCAAGTTTAGCTCCATGTACTTGTAACCTAACTCATAAAACCCAAGGCATGTTGTGTGGAGCGTGCAGAAGTCTGTATAAAACGCATACAAGAGTGACTTATAATTATGGTATATGATCTCCAGCAAGCTCAGATCCTACTTGTAATGAGTGGCCATGAACGAAATATTGTGCGTAGCTTCCCTGCAGCGTTGCCTTAATCGGGTTGCACCCACCAAAATTATGATAGAATAAAAGGACTAACCTATGCGGTTGTTATTATTAAACTGCGCTGATATATATATATAAATGCAAGCAAATAAACCCATTCGTGATTGTTGCGTTTCGAAAGCGAAACTTGCTTAGACCATCGAAGACATGCATATATGCATGTGTTCACTTATAGATTGATGTCACTATATGTGCATGGTATATATACCGCGTTCAGTGTACATATGTGTGTATGTGTTGTAGGGTTTTAGGGTTTTAAAGTGTGTATCTGTTGTACACATACGCCTGTGAACGACCAGCCAGGCGCGAGGACACATGACAGTAATAGATACACTGGGTTTGCAGAAAGCACAAGAACAACAGACAGTACATACCATGCAGGTGCTAACCCATCGGTTGTTGTCAACTGAAGCTAAATTGACCAGCAATGTTCGCATGACTGGGACGTTACCGCTTTGGGCAGCAAGATGGAGCGCAGAGGGACCTGCGCTTCCCTATAGCGCAGGAGACAAGCACAGCCGTAGTATGTAAGATAGACACAGGCGAAGTATGTAAAATATAAACAGACGAAGTATGTAAGATAGACACAAGCGAAGTACGTAAAATATAAACAGACGAAGTATGTAAGATACACACAGGCGAAGTATGTAAAATATAAACAGACGAAGTATGTAAGATACACACAGGCGAAGTATGTAAAATATAAACAGACGAAGTATGTAAAATACACACAGGCGAAGTATGTAAGATAAAAATAGACGAAGTATGTAGGATATTTCAAACTAAACGTATGTGGGATAGGACAAAACGTTCATCATGTGTCTCACTTCTTCGAACAATTGCACAAGAAGGTACGATTGCACTGAGCTTTGCATACCTGTAAAGGCAAATCTGAACTGGTCTTGTCCTGATTTCTGGCTATTTTCAGGTACGTGGTCACCACCTCGAGCTGTGTAACGTCAAATCAGGACCAATATTTCAAAAATAAAATTGATAGTAATACAAATGAGCACCCATCTACCAACAAGGTTTTTGGACAACGTTATATTGTGTCCAGTGCTGGTGAGCCATTATAGACGACGTGTCAACAGGTACTACATAGGCCAGACAAAACTCATTAAAAATAATGCGAATGGACACATACTGTTGCCTTTCAGACAGGGTCAAAGGTACACGCATAAACCGATTGTAAGACAAATGCACACATACTTTGCCCTTCAGACAGGGTCAAAGGTACACACATAAACCGATTGTAATACAAATGCACAAATACTTTGCCCTTGAGACAGGGTCAAAGGTACACTCATAGAGCGATTGTATGACAAATGCACACATACTTTGCGTTTGAGACAGGGTCAAAGGTACACACATACTTTGCCCTTGAGACAGGGTCAAAGGTACACACATACTTTGCCCTTGAGACAGGGTCAAAGGTACACACATACTTTGCCCTTGAGACAGGGTCAAAGGTACACACATACTTTGCCCTTGAGACAGGGTCCTGGGTCTTCCGGCTGTCTACTGGAGGCGTCCACATTAATGAGCAGAGTTTCCATCACATCGAAGTCCGATCGAGCATTGAAGTACTCCAGTACCACAGACACAGAGCAGCAGTTGGCTTCATGCCAGAAGGCCGGGTGTCTACGCACAAGCGTCTCTAGTATAGCAGTCTTCTCGTGGTCTATCAGCGTCTGTAAGAGTACTAACTCTTTGATAGTATCCTGTTGGCCATAGGATGTCACGGCAACGAATGCGTGGATTTGCTGCGAAGATGAAGAGATAAAAACAAACAGAGTATCAATAGTAAATACGAACATGTCTTATTCATAAACTACAAAGCAATTGTCGTAAACAAACAGAGTACTAATAGTAAATAAGAACATGTCTTATTCATAGACTACAAGATAAATGTCGTAAACAAACAGAGTACTAATAGTAAATAAGAACATGTCCTATTCATAGACTACAAGATAAATGTCGTAAACAAACAGAGTACTAATAGTAAATAAGAACATGCCTTATTCATAGACTACAAGATAAATGTCGTAAACAAACAGAGTAGTAATTGTATGTAAGTACATATGTTAACCACAAACTAAAACAAATGTCGTGTCATGTATCCTTCAAACCACACGTGGCACCAATGCAAGACAGGTCTTTTGGTAACCTGTCTGTAGAAGACTTGGACAGGCCCGCTAGCGAGATTTGAAGGTGCTGGCCTATAAGCGGTGTCTCGGTGTATGCAATTGAACTAAGTGCTAATGCTGAGCATGCGCACACTAGCAGAGTGTGATATAATTAGACCTCTCACGACTTGAAGAGGTATGCGTCATCACCATGGAGATATACCTACCGTTGTTTGGAGCAGTTCCAAAACTTCATCCCAAGCCGCCTTGTCTACTAATTTAGACAGCTGCAACCGCCTGGCTAGTCCTAATGCCACAAATAAGAACAAACCACATTTAGACAGGCGGGTTAGTGCTAATATATACATCTGATCTGGTTAGTCCTAGTTATACTGACTAGAACAAACCAGAATAAGACAGATAGGGTAGGGTTGATATATACATCTGAGACAGGTCTAACGGTTCCAATTGTTTGGCTTGTCCTAATTATACTGATCAAACACACCAGAATAAGACATATAGGGTAGGGTTAATATATACATCTGAGACATGTCGGACAGATCCAATTGATTGGCTAGTACTAAATCCGTTTATTAGAACAAACCACAGTAGGGCAGGCCAGTTAGTGCTTAAAATTAGAAAGACATGTCTGATGGTCCTCACAGACTCCCAGACGCATACTATACGGTAAGCTTTGCCGCGATAGGATGAACAGCACTTCTGGTCTACTGCGGATGTACGCATACTGAGATAGGAATAGAGCCGTACATACTGGATATATATATATATATATATATATATATATACACTTAAATATATATATATATATATATATATAAGAGATACATACACATATATATGCATATGTATATATATATATATATATGTGTGTGTATTTATATATATATATATATATATATATATATATATTTTAGTATATATATATATACATATATATATATATATTTATATATATATCATTTCTGATGCATCGTAATGGAATAGAACTAGCCAGTGTTCAATACAGTCATGTAGGTCGACAGCTGTCTTTGCCTGCGCAGGCGATAAACATTCAATATATGCATTCCATCACACAGCAATCATACCCGGCGTACAGAACATTAAAAATGCACACACACACACACACACACA